CCAGGAAGCAAGTGAGATAGGACAAGGGGAAATGTCCTTAAATATTAGGAAAATAGAAATTTCTTCATGGAAAGGGGGTCAGGCATTGGAAGGGGTTGCCAAGGGCAGGGGTGGAGTCCCCATCTAGGTGGGATTTAACAACAGCTGTGTGGATGTGCCACTTGGGGACATGGGTTATGGTGGCCTTGGCAGTGCTGGGGGAACGGTTGGACTTGATGGTCTCAGGGATTTCTGTGGTTCCTTGGAGTTGCTCCTTTCCCATCTCCTCACTCCCTGTCCCACCTCTCCTTTTCCATGGCAGGTTCTTCAAACTCCACGAGAGGAAGTGTGAGCCCATCATCATGACGGTTCCCCGCAAGGTGAGCACTGCCCTGGGGCCAGGCTTTGGAGCCAGCTCCTGCCTCCCAAAGCTCCTGACTGATCCATGTCTCCTGCCCCAAAGCTCCTGACTGATCCATGTCTCCTGTCCCAAAGCTCCTGACTGATCCATGTCTCCTGTCCCAAAGCTCCTGACTGATCCGTGTCTCCTGTCCCAAAGCTCCTGACTGATCCATGTCTCCTGTCCCAAAGCTCCTGACTGATCCGTGTCCCAAAGCTCCTGACTGATCCATGTCCCCTGTCCCAAAGCTCCTGACTGATCCATGTCTCCTGCCTTGCAGTCCGACCTCTTCCAGGACGATCTGTACCCGGACACAGCCGGCCCGGAGGCAGCTCTGGAAGCAGAGGAGTGGTTTGAGGGGAAGAATGCTGATCCTCTCCTCATCTCCTTGAAGCATGGGTACATTCCAGGCAAAAACAGGGATCTCAAGGTGGTCAAGAAGAACATACTGGACAACAAACCCGCCGGGAACAAGAAGAGTGATCTCATAAACGCTCCAAAGAAAGCAGCGGATGCCTCAAACCCCGTGAGTAAACTCCAGGAATTTTGGGGGTGATGGCCTCAGGTGGGAATGCCAGGGTGGGACTGGTGACAGGACCTGAGGGAATGGCTGGAGTTCTGTCAGGGGAAGGTTAGGTTGGATATCAAAGAAAGGTTCTTCCCCCAGAGGGGCACTGCCCAGGCTCCCCAGGGGATGTCCCAGCCCCAAGGCTCTCAGAGCTCCAGGGGCATTTGGACAACACTCTCAGGCACAGGGTGGGATTGTTGGGGTGTCCTGGTCAGGGCCAGGAGTTGGACTCGATGATCCCTGTGGGTCTCTTCCAGCTTGGATAATCCATGATTCTGTGATCCTAATGCTTCTGTATATGGAAGATTACTTGGAATTGTTTTTCCTAAATCACAGAACCATTAAGGTTGGAAAAGACTTTCAAGATCCCCAAGTCCAACCCTAACTGGAAGTCTTCTCCATGAATGAGGGTCAAAATCAGTGTTTTCCTGGGAGTCAGAGCACCCTAGGGTAGACAGGGGGATATTCCCCTTGCCCTGGGTTCCCACACCCAGCACCTTGTTCACCACTAATCCCTATCCTTTGGGACACAGAGGAAAGCATAGCTTAAAGAGCAGGTACTGTTCCTGGATGGGTGCACTGGTGCTGCTGGAGATGCTGCTCCATGCCCTGAGCACCCAACTGCTCCAGAGTCTGTCACACCCTCATCCCTCCAACAGTCCCACTGGGAGGAGCCCTTTCCTTGGAAAACCCCAGAGCTCTCCTCACTCATCCTTTCTCGTCTCCCAGCAAAACGACGCCAAATTGGACGAGATTTTGAAGGAGCTGAAATCCATCAAGGACACGATCTCCAGCCAGGACGAGCGCATCTCCAAGCTGGAGCAGCAGATGGCCAAGATCGCGGACTGAGGGGGCCGCCAGCCCAGGCACATCCCAGCTCCCAGTTCAGCCAGCAGCAGCCTGCAGCATTCCAGTACGAGCTTTCCTGTTCTCCTAAATCCACGAGAGCCGATGATTTCAAGCCAAGCTTTTTAGTGAAAGATCTTTTTCGTTTCCCGATGTTCCAATGAATTTCTGTGACTGTGTCAAAAACAAGAAGTGCTACTTTTACAGGTTTTTTTTTTTTTGTTTTTTTCCAGATGTTATTACGAATTCTTGAAAAACAAATCCATTCTTGACTTCCAATGTCATGCCCAAATATCTTTTTCTAGATTTAGGGACCAACGCCACATTGTTCTTAACCTTTTTTTTTTTTAGAGTTGCCAACAAATAGAAAAAAAATCGCTTTTATTTTTCTTATTTGCCACTTTTGCAGTATTTGTGTTTCCATTCCAAGGGACGGGGGTGTGGGGGTTGTTTACACTGTGCAGAGAACAAAGCTTAAGCTATTTTGTATAAATCCTCCATTTGGAACAATCAGCTGGGTTCCCTTCCTTTCTCTTCCCTGTGGAATCCCCTTGGAGATGGGATCAGCTGCCTTTCCTGCTCCACAACGTGTCCCCAGCCCTGCTGGCTGACAGAAAAATACAAATATATCATTCTGACCGAGGGGATTTATTTCCTACTGAAATTTTAAGCCAGCACCATGTTCCCATTTTCCTACAATCCCAAGGTTTGTTTCCATGACCAAACTCACTCGTTTTATGTGCTCATTTTTATTTCCATGTTAAGGCAGAGGTGACTTCCATGCAGGAGTGTTTTTATCCATGGAGCATGGAGTTCCAGAGGAGCTGTGGGATGCCAGCAGTCGTTGCTGTAAATCCTTGTTCCTGCCCCACAACGCTCCTGAGCTCATGGATTTTAAGGAGCTTTTGGAATCCATCAGCCCTTCACACCAGTGCTGATAATAGGAATTTTCTGTGCTTCCAAGGCAGCATTAACAGCAGAAAGGTGATTTTTCCATGATAATTGTCCACAATCAAAATGCCTCTCTTGTTACTATTTTATAATTTGTTTTCTCCTGTCCATCATTCCCATTCCTGCCTCCCACCCTCCCATGCAGGAAAGGATTTGTTCCCGGATCAGGTGAGGGACCTCCAACCCCAAAACCCCCCCTGCATTCCCAGCCCTGCAGAGCTGAAGGGACTGGGAGGATGGATTTGATCCCAGTTTGGAGAACTGGTTTCTCACACTGCTCCTTTGGGATCCTGCAGGGAGAGGCCCTGTGAGTGCTCTAGGCTGCTGAGCTCCTCCTGGAATTCCATGGAAGCTCAGCTCAGCAAAGCTGTGCTCAGGCGGGGTCTCCCCTGTGGAGGAGCTGTCAGGGATGGAGCAGGCTGGCTCCCTGCTCCCAGGCTGTGTCCTTGTGCTGGGAATGGGATCCAGGACACCCTTAAAGCTGTGCCAGGCAGGATTGGTGCTGCCATTCCTGGCACAGCTCATCCCTGCAGTGCCAGGGAGTGCTGATAACCCATCCTGAATCCAAAGGTGGGCAGAGACCATCAGGTCTGAGAGCTCTGGATCCTTATCCCAGCTGGGCTCTGTCCCTGTGGCAGCTCCGTGTGCTCCCACCTGGAGCATCCCAGTGGACACGAGTCCCTTCATCCAGGCTGAAGTGATTGGATTTTTTTATTTGCCATTAGTTTAGCTAGGAATTCTCCGATTTTCCATTTTTCCCAGTGTTTGCATGTTCAGAACTTCCAGGTTAAGGATTCCCTGTTGTGGAGGGATGTGTGTGTGGAGGCGGAATCGGCCGGGGGACGTAGCTGGAGAGGCACGAGGACGGGATGGAGGAGACAGAGGATGGGGTGGGATTGCAGAGCAGGAAAGCTTCAGAAAAGTGGGATTTCTGTGTTTTAGGGACAAGTGGCATCCCCTGCCCTGTGCCCGTGGATCCACAATCCGGCTGCTCCAGGTTCTTTGGCTGTTTGGTGACGTTTCTGTATTGCAGTAAATGCCTGAGATGTGTATTTTTATGGAATTTTTTTTTTTCTTTTGGATCCCAAACCCGAAGGTTGTTCTCCCCACAGTGGTGATTTCTGTGTTGATTTGTACGTGTGACTTCAGGGTTGTGTGCTCGGGGACCTCGGGTTTGTTCCTAACATTGGAGGGAAATCAGTTTTGGGAGCCGCTGGATTGAGGTGCCCGGGGGTGGGGGTGTGGGAGATTTTAGTTCCTAGCCTGTATTTTATTTAAATGAACTGATGCCTCGCCAGGCTCAACCGGAGTCAGTGCCTGAAGCTTTTTGTAGCCGTGATATCCCGGGAGAGAACCAGCCCAGTCCAGAAAGACGCGCTCTTATAGAGCGGCCAGAGTATCTGTCCAAATATTTGCTTCCATTTTCAAAAGATAAAAGTCATTGATTATAAACTGCCTCTGCTTGGCTTTTCCTTTGGCTCTCGGCGTTCCAGGTCTGATTGATAACTGGGATATGGAATGAAGGAGCTTCAGTGGGGAGCTGTGGCTGAGGGGGTCCTTGGGGACCTTCTGCTTTTGTCCCAGCAGAGCCAGGGCCCATTCTTTGGGGTCACACGTGGAATTCTCCCTGGTGATTCCCAGTGCTGAGCCCAGGAGCTTGGCTGGATGTGGGATGTGATGGCACAGATGGGCTGGGGGATCTCGGGGTGGATGGAGGTGATCCAGGAAGGAACAGCCCTGCTCGGGAGGGGTTCTCATTCTGCTCTTCCCCGGGTGAAATTTATTTCCAGGCTGCAGGAAGTCAGCAATGACACCGAGCCTGGGCTGGAAACAGCATCACTTACTCCACCCAGGTTTGAGCTTTCTCAGGGCTGAGGCGTTTCAGGGGATGTTGCACAACCACCTCCCGAACACGCTGACCGCGACAGCACCCCAAAGCCGGGCAGGGATGCTCCCAGAGAGTCAGCGCTCCCTGGGCACGCGGATCCATCCCAGGGATGCTCATCCCACAGGCCTGAGCCCCTTTTCTTCCCTCTCCCAGCCCCCTGGCAGGTGTTTCGGAGCAGAGATGGGCCGGGGTTTCCGAGGAGGGGGAGGTTGTTGGCACCCGAGCCCGTTCCTGCGGATGTGCCTCTTGCAGCACCTTCCTGAGCTGCGGTTGGGGCGGGGGGTTTCCTGTCGTGCCAGTGCCTCGAGGCCGGGACAACACCCAGGACAACACCCAGGACAACACCCAGGACAACACCCAACAGTCCCTGCAGCCCCACCAGAACCCCTCCGAGCATCCTGCGGTGATGCAGAGAGAAGCAGCACACGCAAGGGCTGTGCAAAACATCAAATCACATCTTCACCCCCCTACACCTCGTGTGCTAAAGCGTTTCCCGGTGTTGAGGCATCTCGGGGCACCCTCACCCCCTCCCTGGCCATGCCCACACCGTGCCCGCGGGGGTGGCAGCCCTGGCACCAGGTTCGCCGTCACTTCTCCTTTCGGAGCGACGCGAGTCCCGGCGCGCAGCTGCTCCGAGGGAGCCGTTCTTTGGGGTGCACCCACGTCCTGCCACCCTCCCCGGGGGTGCCCACTGTCCCCATCCCGCGGTGGCCCCGCTCTCGGCGTGACGCCCTTCCCCCCGCGGGCTCTGGAAACCGCAGCCGCCTTTCCGCGCTCCCTCCCGTCCCCGCCCGGCCGGAGGTGCAGCGGGAGGGTGGCCCCGACGCCCCGCGGGTGCCGGTGCTGGGCTGGCCGCCCTCACCCCCCGTGCCAGCCCTCGCCCGTCAGTCCTGCACTTGGGATCCCACCGCGCTCCTCAGCACAGGTGAGCCCCGGTGGGGAGGTGCTGGATCGGGGCTCGGCCCCGGGGATGCTCTGGGGTGCTCAGAACTCCTGAGGGTGCCACGCTCCGTGCTGGGGGTCTGGGGAGGCGGGTGGGTGCTTTGGGGTGTGGGAGCCTCCTGGGGATGCTCGGGGCATTGGATGGATGCTGTTGGGTGCGGATCCTCGGGGACCTCGGTGGCTTCCGCCCACCGGGGCTGCCGAGGGCGCATTGGTGATGGAACAGGGGGATTTGGGGTGAGTTTGGGGTGGATTTGGGGTGGATTTGCCTCTCCCGCTCCAGCACTGAGACACAAACTCATGGTGGCCTCAGCCCTGGAGCCCTGTGCCAGCCCGGCGGGCAGAGGGGGGGACGGGCACCCTGGCAAGGAGTGTCTGTCAGAACGCGGGTGACATCCCCGCGGTTTCATTTCCACACGGACACTCATCCCGCAACTGCCCCATCCCTCGGCAGCCACCTCCATCGCGGCTGATTTCCCATTTCCACACACTCAACTTCCTTATCAAAACTTGCTCCTGGAGCAGAGCCACCGGCGCTGGGCTCCTGCAGGTGCCTTTTCCATCCCCCCAAACCCTTCCAGAGGGGAAGGAGTATCCTTGGTTGGAGTGTGATCCCACTCCCTGCTCGGCATTCTCCCGCGGGGAGCAGGACCCCGATGTCACCTGCCCTTTCTGTCCCCTGCAGGTCCCATGGCGCTGGGCCGGGCCGTGCTGGTGCTGCTGGTGCTGAGCCCCCTGCGGGTGTGTGGGGCTGAGCTGCTGGAGCCGGGGGTGCCCCGGGGCGGGCAGTGGGTCTGGGGGGAGGCCAAATCCCTGCCCGTCTCCCGTGGGAAGAGGGATGACAGTGGGCAGGAGCCCAGTGCCACCACGATGATCAGCAGTGACAAGAGCGATGTGCCACCACCAGCAGGCGGTACCAATGCCAGCCTGCTCCATGTGCCAGCCACAGCCGACCCCATGGATGATTCCCCCGAGCCTGAGCTGCTGCTGAGCTCTGCAGCACCAGTGCCCAGCACCAACGCCAGCCTGCTCCGGGTGCTTGCAGCGACCACTACAGCCGAGCCTATGGATGAGACAGATTCCCCTAAACCCGACTTACTGGAGGACTCTGCAACACCAGCAGTGCCCAGTGCCACTGTAGTGCCCACCACAGCTGATCCCATGGATGAGACAGACCCCCCTGATCCCGACCTGCTCCCGAGCTCTGCCCCATCACCAGCACCCAGCACCAAGGCTAGCTGGGCACTTGTGGTGCCAACCACAGCTGATCCCATGGATGACACTGATTCTCCTGCTCCCGACCTGCTGCCAGGCTCAGAGCCTGGCACGCCATCAGCAGCCCAAAAGAGCATCACCACCACCACCCCCAGCTGGCTGATCGAGGAGGACACAGTGACTGATGGCCTGGACAGCAGCTCCTCCACGGGGCCACACTCAACAGCCGCCCCAACCCTTGTGCTCAGCAGCACGGGCTACAACAAACCCAAAAAATCCGCAGCTCCGCCTGCATCGACCCTCCCGACCGCTTGGGACACGACTCCGGTGACCACCGCGGTGCCCTGGGAGCCCAGCGGGGTGATGAGCAAATGCCTTCTGGCCATCCTGCTGCTGGGGCTGGTGGCCGCCACCTTCCTGGTGTGCACGGGGGTGTTGGGGACGCTGCTGTGGCGGCGGGCGCGGACGGGGCAGCGCCGCTTCGGCCCCACCGAGATGGTTTGTATCTCCTCGCTGCTGCCCGATGCCGAAGCTGCCGCCGGTCCCCGGCCTGTGCCCGCCCGGAGGCACAAGCTGCTGCTGCCCGACGGCAGCTCCGAGCCCGATGGAGACAACCTGACTCTCAGCAGCTTCCTGCCGGAGCACTCCTGAGCCCCGGGATGGCTCCTGCCCGCTCCCCGGTGAGCCGCGGGCAGGGTGTCACTGTCCCCCCGGTGTTTAACTCGGACCGGTGTAACGGAGCTGCTCCCCCGCGGCCAACTCACCCCCCGAACCCCATCCCATTAAAGAGTTACATGGACATGGTGGTCCCTCCCTGGCACCCGCCAGCCTGCCCACATCCTGCTGCCGAAATTTCGCTTCTCCATCCTCCCCCTCAAGCCCCCGGGGGAGCAGAAACGAAACCCGGACCCCGGGAGCTCCCGCCGGGCCTGGTGGGAGCTGGAAGGGCGGGGGGGACACGGCGGAAACACCGGGGGACGGGGACAGGACGGGTGTGCCCGTGGCACAACGGGTTCCTGCCTGCGGTCGCTGCAGCGAGGCGGGGACGCCTCTGAAGCCGCCGCTGCCTGTCAGGGTCTGGGACTGGGACTGGGACTGGGACTGGGAGGGATGGGGAGAGCAAACCCATGAGAGGCCAGCGAAGGTCCCACCGTTTCACCCACTCAGGCAGGTGTCAGTCACCCCTCAGGGCCACCAACTGATCCCTTCCTCGGGGGAGTGGAAATAACTCAGGACTGGCCCTGTCCTGCCAGGCTCGATGTCCCCATTTTTCCGTTTTTGCTCCACCCAGGCTCCCCATCCCCACATCCCCATCCCTGCCGTGACCAGGTTCACCATTCCCATATCCCCTTCCCCACGTCCCCAAGCTTGCAGCCTCCTCGAAGGCCGCTCTGGGCTGGCTGTGCAGGGAGAATTGCCAGCACGGTCATTCACCTGCACCCCGGCCCTGCTGCCTGTTTACATTCACCCTGAGCTCGGGATATTTTCCATCTGGATCCTGGCAGCTGCAGGGCCCCGCTCTGGCTGTGAATGTAAATGTTTATGGGTGAGTCAGCCCGGCCGGGGGACCTGCAGCCGGTCCCCATGCAGGACACCCTGGCTGTGAGCTCCTTGCTGATGCCACCCTGCTCTGTCCCACTGTGTCCCCACGCCAGCACCGTGCTAGCCAAAGAAACCACGGGGAAAGAGGGATGCTCCCATCCTCTGCTTCACCCCACGGCAGCTCATCCAGCCTCTGCCCCCGGTGAGGATGAGGAACAGGATGGGTGCAGATCCCAGGGATTGCTCCTGCTGAGGGTGGCACCGGGCTGTGGTGGGTGACAGGGGCCTGGAGGTGGCACCGGGCTGTGGTGGGTGACACAGGGCTGAGGGTGACACCGGGCTGTGGTGGGTGACAGGGGGCTGAGGGTGACACCGGGCTGTGATGGGTGACACGAGGCCGGGGGTGACACCGGGCTGTGATGGGTGACAGGGGGATGTGGGTGACAGGGGGCTGAGGGTGACACCGGGCTGTGATGGGTGACACGAGGCCGGGGGTGGCACCGGGCTGAGGGTGACACCGAGCTGTGCTGGGTGACACAAGGCCGAGGGTGGCACCGGGCTGTGGTGGGTGACAGGGGGCTGAGGGTGGCACAATACCACGCAGGACGCTGCACACGGAGCTCCACACTCCTCGTGCAGCTCTGCAGGCCGGACACCCTCCGGGTATTTTGCTGGCACAGCAAATCACAGCCCAGGGAAGCAAATTAGAAGCAGAGCAAGGCTGAAATGCCTCAAATTGGCGGTTCCCCGGGCGGGCCGTGCCGCCGAGCCCAGCCCTGCGCTGCCCCAAATTACACAGCGGGGCCGGGCGGTGCCCAGCTCGGAGGGGCCCGGCCCGTGCCCAGTGCGGGCAAAAACGGCATCGTAATGGCCGGGGGGAGCTGGCACCGGGAACCGGCACCGGGATCCCGGCTGCGAGGGTGGGGACGCTGGGCAGGGAGGGATGAGGACTCTGAGCAGTGAAGGGTGGGAGGTGTGGGCAGGGTGGGATGCAGATTTTCAGTCTTCATCCCCCTGGGCAAAGGTTAGGATGGTTCTTGGATGAGTGGCAATTTGCTCTCTGGATGATGTGGGATGCAGACCCTGGACAAGGAAATTGAGCCCAACACCGGCATTATTGGGTGTGTGGGGGGAACTCAGCCCCATCCCCACCTGGCCTGCAGGAGCAGGGCCGGATGCTGCTGGGACTCCTCACCCCCGGCCTCTCCTCGCCTTTTCCCCCTTCCCCTCTAAGATTTCATCACTGAGCACTTAAGGCCGGGAAAAGCCGCCCCAGCAGCTGCAGGGAGCCGCCGGGGCAGCCAGACGGACGGAGCCTTTATTTTGGGGAGCCGCGACGCCAGAGAAACCCCAACGGCGCCAGCCCCGCTCCGGCCCGGGGGACAGAATCCCTGCCACCCTCCCGCGGGGGTCACGGTCCCCAGGCGCTGGCCGTGGCTTTTTGGGGGGTCTGGCAAGTCCCCAGAGAGGAGCAGAGGAAAATAGCAACAGGATGAGGTCACACAGCCGCTGCAGCCTCTTGAGCAACCTCAGGCCAGGCCGAGGGGACCGGGGCAGGGGGAGAGAGAGCTTGGGGGGGCTCAAGAGATGCCCCCAGACCCCAAGACTGGAGACCAGGAGCTGGGGAGCTGAGCAGCTGCTGTGTTTGTCTGGGGAACCCGGGGGACCCCTGCCTGCACCCCAAGGCAGAGGCGCCCAGGCCAGAGCATTTCCAGGCTGGGATTTTTAGGAAATGTTCTTCTGAAATTATGGAGATGGTCCTAAGCCATCTTTGCCCCACTGGCTCAATAATGCCAGGGCACTGAGCCCACATCCCTCACAGTCCCCCTTCGACCCTCAGATGGGCTTTACCCCCACCTTCACGGATAAAAACAACATTAAAAACAACCCCCAGTGTGACCCCCATCCCCACTTGCACCCCAAAACGTGGCCCCTTCCGGGGTTGATGATGGGGGACACCGTGGCTCCTTTGCTTATGGGATAAGCCAGGAAACACCCCCAGCCCCAGCTGGATTTCATCTGGGAGGGGGCTGGGGGCTGCTTGCCTTTCCCTGGCCTCCCACACCCCCTCCCCATCCCGGCCCTAATGAGAACAAGCTGGTCCCGGGCTGCGACGCAGGAGGAGGAGGAGAAGGAGGAGGAGAGGAGGGAGAAGGAGGGAGAAGGAGGGAGAAGGAGGGAGAAGGAGGAGGCTCCATCCCAGCAGGCTGCAGAAAGGGGCTCGAGGTGTGTGGGACAGATCCCGTCTTCCCGGCTGCCTCCCGCCGGCTGCGGGCAAGGTGAGGATCCCACGGGATGTGCCAAGCTGCTCCCTAATTTTTGGGGTGGCTCTGGAGCAGGGCACAGGCTGTCCCACAGCCGGGGGTGCTGCAGTGAGGGCTGGGCATGGTCCCCATGGCGGGACACGGACGGAGTCGGCCACATGGCTGCATTCCCAGGCGGGAATCGGAGCGTGCTGCCTCTGGACAACACCAAAATCCTGAATTTCTGGAGCACTTGGGAAGCGGAGCTGGGAACGAGCTGGGGGTGGGCAAGGAAGGGGCTGGGATGGGATTGGGATGGGGTGGAGGGCTGGCAATGCCCGTGGTGCTCTTGGCACTGCTTTGGGCTTCGCTCAGCCCCTCCATGGGGCTGCTCCTCAGCTCTGATGGCTGCCGGGGAATTGATGCCATCCCGGGACCCCTTTCCCGCCGAGGGGCCCCTGTTTGGGGTGAAGAGGAGGATGAAGGGGCTCATCTCAGCCCCTCAAACCTTTCATTCTCCCAGTGCTGGTCAGTGCTGTGACCCCACAGCCGCAGCAGTGCCCGTGGGGAGTCAGGAGAGTTGGGGGTCAGGGGCACCTCCCACCTCTGCTGCTGCTTTTTTGCACTGGATTAATGGAAACCAGATTGTGCAGCCAGGAGAGAGCCTGGGAGCCAAATCCTGCTGCTGGAGTCCCTCTCGTTCTGTAAAGCTGCTGGCTTGGGTTTGTTTGGGGGGAAAACGGGAAGTGGGTTGGGATTTGAGGAGCCTGAGGTTGGGGAGTTGTCATGGGGGGGTCCCTGCTGATGTACCTGGGTTAATGTTTCCTGAGACCTCCCCGAGGGGAAGAGCCCCGGGAAGGGCCCGATGGCGTTACGTGGCGTTGATGTCCCTTGGGAACATCTCGAGACGCTGTGGAGGGAGTCACGTCCCTCTCCCAAATCCTGTGGGGTGCAGAGCCCGGCCAGGGGCTCACCCTGATCATCGCTCTGGGGTGGGGAGCGCGTGTCCCGTGCCCTACAGCACGCTGTGGGCTGTGCAATGGGGCAGATCCAGCCCCATCCGGGCGAGGAGCGCGGCACAGGGACGGAGCCAGCCTCCCCCCTTCACAGGGACCCCATTCCCTGCACCCAGCTCTGGGGCTGCCCCTTTGTCCCACACCCCATCCCGGCTCCACTCAACACATGGTGGCACCAGGGCGAAATCCTGCCCCAAACTATTTTTAGCCGTGTTCCAGCTGGGAATTAACGGTCTGGGACGGCGGTTGGGAAATGCCTCTTGAGCCGGGCCCAGCCTCTTTGTAGCGTCGCCTGTGTCAAAGTTTCCACTGCAAACCTCCATTTTTCAGGAATTCTCTAATCAGCCAAATGATCGTTGTCTGGAGCCGGGCGCTGGCAGCAGCCCTGATCCCCCAGCCTTGAGCAATCCCACCCAGCTGGCTTCCAGCTGCGCCCTTGGAAAACAAAGGGAGCACCCTGCTCTGTCAGGGTGAGAAAACCGGAGCTGCCTCTCTACTTCCATAAGGAAATTCAGGCGGGTGAAGGCTGCTTTGGGCAGCTCGCTGTGTTGGGGTATTAACGTGTCCCCCACCTCTCTGCACCCCACAGGTCTCCTGCAGGGATGCTGGGAATGGGCTCAGCCATGGGCCCGTGGCTGCTGCTCTCGGTGCTGCTGGCGGCACAGGCGGCAGCGCCCCGGCACCGCCCGGTGCTGCCGGACACCGCGGGCAGCGGGGACGGGGACGAGGCGTCAGCCACGCTGCCCGCCCAGCCCGTGACCCCCCGCGTCAGCCCCACGGTGGGGGACGCGCCGGGGACCACCGTGACCAACAGCTCGGCGCCGGGCGTGCTGGACGGGCTGGTGGACTTCTTCAAGGAGTACTTGCTGCTGGTGGTGGTGGTGGGCTCGCTGTCCTTCGTCCTCCTCTTCATCATCTGCGCCGCCGTCATCGTGCGGCAGAAGCACAAGGCCTCTGCCTATTATCCCTCCTCCTTTCCCAAGAAGAAATACGTGGATGAGCGGGACAAGTCGGGGGGAGCGCGGGCGTTCAGCGAGGTGCCCGAGAAAGGCCCCGAGGCCGGCGTGGAGGAACCGCTGGATGCTGGCTGGCAGCTCCAGGCGGACATCCTGGCTGCTGCCCAGAACCTCAAATCCCCCCACAAGGCGCCGCTGGCCAACGGGGCCCAGGGCGAGCAGAATTCCCCTCAGGAGGAGGAGAAGGAGGAAGAAGAGGAAGGAAAGAAGAAGTTGGGGGATGAGCAAGCCAAGCCTCCTGCCCAAAATCCAGGCGTGGAGGAAGCGGCGAGCGCAGGAAGCAAGGAGATGCCTGATGCATCCCAGGATGGCTGCCAGGCTCCCTCTGGAATCTGAGGCAGGGACACAGTCCCGGCCAAGCCTGAGGAGCTGCTGGCTCGGGACTCATGATGGACACGGTGGGTCAGGCTCCGTACGTACGTGGTGGCTCAAGGAAGCCCCGATGAAGATCCCATTCCCTCCCAGCTCCCCCCACCCTGGTGCTGATGGGATGCTCGTGGGGGAATTTGCCAGCTGGTGGTTTTCCCCAGCACTGGAATGCCATCAGCCCCAGCTCCTGCTGCCCAAGGGGCTTCTCCCACCCCAGGCACTGGGGGTGTGTGCATCCCCCCAGCTGCAGCTCTGCCCCCACTGTGCCACCAGCTTCCTCCCAAATGTTATTTCAATCAGCAGCAGCAGCCTGGTCCATGCTGGATTCCTGGCTGGGAGCTGTGTCCCTCTGGGAGAAGGGATGGGACCAGGGCTGGAGGTCTGTAGGACATGGGTCAGCTTTGCCCATGGCCACCCAAGGGAAAGAGGGATGAGGATTTAGGGACAGGACCCTTCTTTCCTTCTTCCACCCCAGAGCCCAGCTGGATTTTTGCCTCCCTTCCTGAACCCTTCAGCTAGAAATAAACATTTTCTCCGCACAGCTCCTCTCCTGTGTGTCTCTGCAGCCGTGGCGTGGCCAGGGGACCGTCCCTGTGTCCTTGTGCTCCTCCAGGGGCACAGCTGGATTGGACTCCAGGGGCACTGGAGCCCTGGGCAGGGTGTTATCAGTCCCCACATCAGCACATCACGTGCCCTTCCAGGAAACCTTTATCTTGCACCCACAGCTGTGGGCTGAGGAGGGGCTGTGGGGACTCAGCCATGGCCCTGGGGTGCAGCTGCTGCACTGGGAACAGCAGGAAGGTGAGTGAAGCTGTCCTGCCTCAAAAACAGCATGTCCCTGTATCCCTGTGTTTTATCCCATTATGTCCTTGCCTCAGCACAACCTTCCCTTGGGAAGAGAGTGCCAGCACAAAAAACGTGTTTTGCCCCAAAGCAGACGTGAATGTGTGAAGTTTCCCTGATTTTTTTTTTAACTGGGCAATAGCAGGATTGTTCCATGAGGGAGAGGCACGTTCCTCACTGCTGGAGGGTGCCAGCTGAGGAATCACAAGAGGGACCTTGTGAGTGACATACTCACAGCAATGTGTGACCTCTGTGTTAAAAATTACAAATATTGTGCCCAGACAGAGCAGAATGAGACAATTTTTTTTTTTTGAAGTGTGGTTTTAAATGTTTAACAACACCCTCATCATGAAAAATGGGAAGTGAGGAGTCTTGTTGGGGGTTAGAAGGTTAAAAAGTGAAGTCTGCCAATGTGTTGTCTGCTTGGTTTGGAAATACTCCTCCAGAAAAGAGGAACTCTGGGAGCTCCCCCTCAGCTCTGCATTCCAGCTCTGCTATTCCCCACTGAGGTTCCAGTCTCTTTGGAGAATCTTGGAGTGGTTTGGTTAGGAAGTGATCTTAAAGGTCATCCAGTTGCAAACCCCTTCCTTGGGCAGGGACACCTTCCTCTAGCCCAGGATTTACAGCTATAAGAGTGAGTGAAGAAGTGAAATTCTTAAGAGAAAACACCCCAAAATTCAGGCTCAGTTCCTCAAACAAGAACTTCAAAAATTAAGTGGCGACAGGATGGGAGCATAAACCACCAGTGTCTCCTGGTCACTTTTCCCTTTGGCACCTGCAAAGGTTCCCGGAATTCCAAGAGCAGGAATTTGCCCCTGGATTGCGAAACCAACTCTGACACAGCCGGAGCCAGGGGCGGCCCCACAGCTCTCACACACACATCCAAACCAGGGCAACGCTTCCCACTAAATTCCATAAAATATTAGGCAAAACTAAACATCTTCCCAAAACAAAAATGAAAGTGCAGCCCTTCCAGTACCGGACAGCGGGGTTTTGTCTCCGGAGCGGAGTCTTCCCGTGGCATTCCCAGCGGGATGGGAGCCCCCATCCGTGTGAGCACTATGGGGTGGCTGGACACCACAGGGACACGTTGTGTGTAACTTGTGCGTATCTTACAGCTTGAGTAGTGCACAGGGTCCTACAACAGCTCGGGAATTGCACTGCAGAGTGAGGAGGGGAAGCTGAGCAGGCGGTTCAGGCATTGTCGGCTTTTTTGTCGGATTCTCTGCTTGGATCCTGCTTCAGTTTGTAATCGGCCAAGGCAGCCTTGATGGCGTCTTCAGCCAGCACTGCAAAGCAAAAAAATAAAGGATTTTAAGGAGAACTCAAGAGCTTTTAAAACAAAAATTGAAGTAAAAACAAAAGCAGGCAAGACCAGCAGCACAGGCTGATCTGAGGAGTAGAATCTGAATGGAATTCCTAAAATACTGAATTCCTCCAATTTCAATAGTATAATTCAGAATTTGATTGTTTAGTATCAGTCTGTTGAACCACAGGCTCCAAAATATTGATCTGAAAATTCTTGAATTAACGCTGAAATCTGAACATGTTTTCTCTTAAGGACAACACTGTGCAGAAACTGTTTGGAAAACAGAATCCAGAAGCATCTGTGCTATTTCCAGAGTATCTGAGATCCGGGGTTTTTACTTACTGGAGCAGTGCAGTTTGACAGGGGGAAGGCAGAGTTCCTTGGCAATATCTGTGTTCTTGATTTTCAGCGCTTCATCAACCTGAAACACAGGCAGAGGTGGTCATGGGCCTTGATGTTTGTGTTTGCTAAGAAGGTTTAATGCTCCAGAGCCAGCAGAATCCACAGGGGACATCGGCTCAGCTGCCCAGGGCAGTGAGGGATATGGGAATTAAGGAATGTCTGACTGACATCAGTGTCACACACTGTCCCCACTTGGCCTGTTTCAAGTCTGTTCATCCTCTACCAAAACACTGAGGTGCATTTACTGCTGGCAGAAATGACCTAAAGGTTCTTAGTAACTAAAATTTCTGCCATCAGCCTGGTTTTGCTCGTTGAGTAAGACAAAGTAATTTCCTGGTGGAATTGTTTACTTGGGCACGTGGTGAGGAGTGGAGCTGCTGGGGGAACGGTTGGACTTGATGTTCCCAAAGGGTTTTTCCAACCTTAATGATTCTATGATGGTTGTTGAAAAAGACAATTATTGCCCTACAAGTGAAACCCTGACAGTGCTGGCGGTCTCTTCTACAGCACACAGTAGTGCAGGGACTCCCTGGAGAGCACTTCCTACATGATCCCAACAGAAAACACAAGCACGTGGGAAGCTCTGCAGCATTCCCGGAGCTCCCTCACCGTTTTCCCTTTGACCCACTCCGTGGCCAGCGAGCTGGAGGCGATGGCTGAGCCGCAGCCGAAGGTTTTAAAGCGGGCGTCCACGATCTTGCCGTTCTCGTCCACTTCCACCTGCGGGAGCGTTTTGGGGACATGTCAGTGCCCGGTTCAGCTCAGCCAGGTCTTCCCCAGCCGGGAAGCGGGGAGCGGGGCTGGCCCTGCCCCGGGCACAGGGCACGGTCAGGGTGGGCATGAGGGAAGCCCGTGCTGTCCCCTGAGGGGAGCTTTGACCCTCGAAACAGCCCCATGTGACCCCACCCAGGTGCCACCGGGTCCCCAAGGTCACCTGTAGCTTCATGACGTCGCCGCAGGCCGGGGCGCCCACCAGGCCGGTGCCCACGTTCTTGGCTTTGCTGTCGAGGGAGCCGACGTTGCGCGGGTTCTCGTAGTGATCCACCACCTGCAAAGACGCAGCGTCAGACAAGCTCACCCCGCGCTTCCCCCGCCCCTCCCCGTGTCACGCTCGCCCCTCACCTTCTTGTGGTAGCCCAGCGCGGCCGGGGCCGGCCCGGCCCGGGGCCGCAGCAGCGCCGCCCCCGCCGCCCTCAGCGCCGCCATCTTCACTGAGGGGCGGGGCGGTGGCGCCGCCTTTTTATAACCTCGGGCGGGCTGGCCACGCCCCCAGGTCACGCCCCGGCCACGCCCCCTCGCCCCGGAGCTCGCCTCTCCCCCCGGTCATACGTTGGCCGCACAGGCGGCGGGGGCGCTGGCGGCCGCGCTGTGGCTGAGGCGATCGGTCAATAAATAAACGACAGAAACGGCGTTTCAGTCGCGCCGGGGTTCGCATCGCGACAGACGGCGGCGGCTGCGCGCACGCGGCGCCACACTCAACATGGCGGGCCGGCCGCGCCGCGCACGCCACGGACCCTCTCGGAGGCCCCCCGATGGCCACACAGCGGGCTGCCCGCGGTGCTGCCTGCGCCGCGGAGCAGAAGACAAAGGGTCAGGCCGTGGCCGCACTTGGCGCAGCGCTGCCCCGGTGCGCGGGTCAGTGCGGGGCGGGTGGTGGGCTGAGGATCCCGGTTCTTCCCGCCCGGTTCGGCCGGCGGTGGGGCGGAACTGCGGGACGGGCGGCGCGGGGGCAGCCGCGGCGGGCGGCGGAGCGCGGCGGGCGGCGAGCGGAGCTGCATAAGATGGCGGCGGCGGGAGCTGAGGCGGCGGCCGAGGAGGAGAAGCGGCTGCCGGAGGGAGACCCCGAGTCGGGCGGGGACTCGGATGATGAGGGCGACTCGGACTCGTCTGGGGACGGCGAGGATGAGGAGAAGGAGAACGAAGCCGAGATCCAGCGGCTGGAGGAGCAGGTGGGCCCGGCGGGGCAGCGGGTGTGGCGGGAACGGGGATAATCCGTGTCCGTGCCCCGGTTTGGTGCTGGGAGCTGTCAGGGTGTGAATTTCCCTGCTCCTTGTGGGTTTCTTCCCGCTCGGATATTCGGTGATTTAACGCCGTGAATGTTTGGAGTCGTAGATGGAAGTTGAGCAGCTTGGGATTTTTTTTTTTTTTAATTTTTTTTTTTGAAAGGCAAATAAGAGGGAAGTGTAGTAGGCAGTTTGTGTTCATTGAGAAATGTGAGCCGGCTTCCCGCGGTTTTTTATTGCCTTTAAAGAAATGAAAGCGCAATTCTCTCTGAGCAGTGGCCGAGGGAGCGGCCGGGACTGTGTCTGGGGTTAGGTTAAATCTGAGTGTGAAAAACGCCAATCATTTAGTTTTTAAAGTTTTGAAAGTTTAATAATAATAAAATGTTTATAAAAATAGTAATACAATTAGAGTAATAAAGTTTAGCGTTAGGACAATTACAAGACAATAAAAAGCAAAGAATTACAGACGTCCAGATGCTCTCGGTCACTAAGTCACGAAAAGCATCCCTTGTGAACAAAGGAATAACCTTAAAAGCAACAGCCTGTTACATATTCATATATTTCATACATGATGCATAAATTCCTTGCAAATTACGAACTTTTCTGGTTTTTGTCAACTTCTCCTTAATCCTGTTGGTTCCACAAAGACGGAGAGAAGGTGGAAGAATGTGTGATTTATTTTCTGACTTTTTCACATCCATCGCTCAACAGGGCTTTTTAAAATTATTTTTTTGTTGTTGTTTTTTAAAGCTTTCCATCAATGCTTTTGACTACAACTGTCACTTGGATCTGATCAAGCTGCTGCGGCAGGAGGGAGAGCTGGTGAAGCTGCGCAGAGCTCGGCAGAAGATGAGCGAGCTCTTCCCCCTCACTGAAGGTACAGAGCATCCTCTGCTCCCTGCAGGTGAAGCATCACCCATGCAAGATGCTTCAGCAGTGAAATAAAACATTCAGACCGAATTTTCATCACCCTCTCTCAGGGGA